TAAGATTTCCATACATGTAATGAGCAAAAAATTCTTGTAAAAACTTTTGTTTAGTAAAAAAAAGAAAAAATCTTGATACTAGGCTGAATTTTCCATGGCTAACCTAACCACTTAACCCTTGGCTTCTTAGAAATCATTCAAAACTTTGAATCAGATCCGCTACGACTGGACATATGTATAAAAGTGTCTAATATTTCATTTCTGAAATACAATTGACTTTGTCTGAAATACATTTGACTATTTCTGAAATACATTTGACTAACTCTGAAGCATATGTGATGATTTCTGAAATACATATGACTATTTCTGAAATTCAATTTATTCTTCTGAATTTCAATTGATTTTTTCTCAAATAAAAGTAACCATTCTGGATTGCAAATGATACTTTCTGAAATAAAAATAATAATTCTGAAATACAATTGATGCTTTCTGAAATGAACTTGACCCTTTCTGAAATGCAAGTGGAAAAGGTGTAGATTAATTTTTTTTATTAAGAACCACTTATCAACAGCCCAGCATGGCTTCTATAGCGGTAGATCAGCTGCATCCAACCTGGTTATCTATCAAGATGATATAATATCAGCCTTCAACAGAAGTCATCAAGTAGACAGCATTTACCTGGACATGTCGAATGCTTTTGACAGATTGAGTCATGAACATCTACTGGCTAAGCTCAGCGTTTTGGGTGTTACTGGTGCCATGTTAAGTTGGTTCAGAAGCTATGTCAGTAATCGTCACCAGGTTGTCAGATACAATGGATGTACATCCACCGCGTTTCCTGTCCTTTCTGGAGTCCCCCAGGGCTCGTTATTGGGTCCTGTGCTGTTTTCCATATTTGTGAATGACCTGGTCTCAGTAGTCACAAATTGTAAAATATTACTCTTCGCAGATGAGGCTACAATATACAAGGAAATTTCGTCGGAGTATGATTGTGATATGCTTCAAGCTGACCTTGACCAAGTATTACTGTGGTGCCTCAAGAATGAAATGGAGCTTAACATCTCCAAATGCACAGTGTTCTCCTTCTCAAGACGGGCAAATACCATGATGCATGGTTATACTCTTGGAGGAAAATCACTTTCCAGATCATCTGTTGTTAAAGACCTTGGTGTGACTTTAACATCGTCACTAAGTCCCGATGCTCACCTTGATGCCATTAGTAGAAGAGCAAACTCTGTTCTTGGTTTTATTATTAGAGTGTCTAAGGACGGTTTTTCACCAGAAGCACTAAGGACTCTTTACGTTCAACTTATCCGCCCTATACTCGAGTACTGTTCTCCAGTGTGGTCACCGTATCAGCTGGGCCACATAGAACTTCTTGAGGGAATTCAAAGACGATTCATTCGAATTGTTGGACTGCAGCTGGGCTTTCGTTATGAAGATGTACCCTTGGACGAGCTAAGCCACCTCCTTCGTCTTCAAACCTTGTCAGTCAGGCGTAGAGTCTCCGATTTAATGTTTCTGAGGAAGATAATCTCAGCTTCAGTGGACTCACCTGAATTGTTGGGAAGAATCGACCTTCGAGCGTTGAAATCGACAAGATCTAAACAACTGTTTGAGAGGAGATATTGCTCTGCACAATATGCGTACCACAGCACTATGCCACGTCTCCATCGCCTTGGAAACTGTCTTCCAGAACACCTGGACTTCTTCTCCATGTCCGATGAAGTCTTTAGAAATGGGCTAAAGAGTTTCTACGCTTAGCTGCTGTTGAGATCATTATACTGTTACTTGCTTTTTTGTTTCTTTATCATTGTAGTTGTTGTTTAAGTGATTTATTTACTGTTACTTGTTTTTTGTTTCTTTATCTTTGTTCGCTAATTACCAAATTTGTTGTTCCCCATGTTGATTGTTAATTATTGTTGTCATTTATTGTATTTATTGTTATTTATTGTTATTTATTGTTTTTTATTGTTATTTATTGTCATTTTTTGTTATTCATCATTATTTATTGTTATATATATTGATATATTTTTGATACATTCTTATTTATTGGGGTTTTTTAGTCAGGTCATCTTCATGTTATGTATGAAATGTTCTATGTAAGTCTGAATGAAACGTCTTGCCATCATTGTATGTTTATGAAAATGGAGTTTTCCGTCTGTAAATAAATAAATAAATCATCCTTGGGAACCAGCAACTCAGCCATGGGAGAGAATACATATAGATTTCATGGGCCCTACAAAAACAGCAACTACCGATTGGACTGTTAAGGAGTTGAAGAAACTTTTTCGTACTTTTGGTCTTCCAAGCCTCCTAATTTCAGACAATGGACGAAGTTTCACTTCTCTTACTTTTCAAGAGTTTATTAAGTCATGTGGAACTCAACACAAAACGACTGCTCCATTCCACCCATCATCTAATGGACAAGCTGAACGCTTTGTACAAACAGTGAAGAAGATGTTGAAGTCGATATTAGATGAACCAGGAACACTTGACAGTAAAATTCACAAGGCGTTAATTCAACTCCGTCAAGTACCAAACTCAACATACTATCTCATGTTCAACAGACAAGTAAGAACATACCTCAGTGTTATGATACCTTCTAGAATCGAGGACTCAAAAGACAAACCTAAAGGTATAACACGCATATTTAAGGTCGGAGACCGTGTTCAAGTGAGAAACTACTACAAGGGTCAGAGAAAATGGAGTTTTGGAAAAGTTACATCAAGAGATGGAAATCAAAATTACAACGTTGAACTGGAGAACGGAGTAACATGCAGACGACATGTAGATCAAATGCTGCGGTCAAGACTTTAAAGGGGGAAGATTGATGTGTCTTTTCTAACATACTGTATGTTAAAAAAAATACCATATGTTTAATAAGTTAACTTTGTTTTTGTTTACAATCATTGTTATTTAGGATTCATTTCAGAATACACCTATTTTATTTTACACATCTTTTATTTAATATGTAACATTTGCATTGCTATTATATGCTTACTCCTCAGGGGGCTCAGCCCTAGGAATCGGAAGAAAATTGTTAACGTAAGCATAGGTCGATATGCACATCAAATTAAAGGTCTTCACTAGTAGATTACAATGCTGTAAATTCAAGCTCAAAAGAACGCCTGAGTAAAAAATGGCAGTTGTTCAAAGATTCAAAATGGCGGATTCAAGAAATCTTTGAACGGCCGCCATTTTGCGCAGGATCAACCTTTTGAAGTGCAGTTTGCGGTATTGTATTCTACTAAAAAAGACCTTTCATGTGCATGTTGACCTATGCTCCAATTTAAGATTTCTTTCTGACTCCTTGCAGGACGTCCCCATGATATGACAGAAAATTCATAGTTCCTTGAAAAAGTAGATTTTTAGGTGTGGTGTTGATGTACCAAATCTTATTGATTTATCTGTTGTCGTTTAGAAAATATTAAGCCTGTGCGGGACTTTTTATACACCCTGTATAATCCAATGTATGCTTGTTTGTTTGTTTGTCCTTTATGCGTTACCAAACCGGCCATCCGATCATGATGAAAATTTGGGAAGTTGTTATATACACCCCCGGGAAGGTTTGTGTGAAGCTTGGTGCAGATCCGTCAAACCCCAGTTGCTCTGAAGTTTCCCATGTTAACCTTATGAGTACTTATATTTAAATGGAATTAAAGAATCTTAACAGCTGGTTCAACTAAAAGTCTGTGATGTTCAATAGCACTAACAAGTTAAAAGGTTTACCAACAGGGTGCAGCACTATTACTTTTTAAAATTTATGACAACAGCTAATTTGCAAACAAAAGGTGAGTGAGCGTAGCAAACGAACTTCAACCTGGATGCGAGTTAGCGTAGCGAATGAGCTAAACCTGAAGGCAAGTGAGCGCAGCTCCAACCTAAAGGTGAGTAAGCGTAGCAAACAAACTTTAACCAGGACGTGATTGAGCGATGCAAACGAGTTTATCTTGAAAATGAACGAACATTTGACATAAAACCACATTAGGACAGGACGACGTCTGTCGGGCCAGCTAGTTATTTTTATAAATCAGAATTACATTCCCAATTGGTACTGCTACTGTATACTAAAAAATATGTTCAAACTTATTTGTTGTAGGAAATAGTGTAGCCTATATTTTTATAAATAGTAGGCTTCATACACGAAACATCTATAAGTATAAAAGAGGATGTTTGTATATATATTTGGCAGTGATAAACTCAGACACCGCTGAACCGATTGCCACGAAACTTGGTACATACGTGTAGAATTTCATGGAATAGGTTTATACACCATCAATTTCGTGATCCGTCCAATCGGCTCCGCCCCAGTGGCTCTGGAGTTTCCCATGTTAACCTTATGAGAAATGGAATTAATGAATCTTAACAGCTGTTTCAATTAAACAAGTTGGTTCTGTTCTATGATGTTCAATATCATTAAAGTTACAAGGATTACCAACAGGGTGCAGCACTATTATTTCTTTTACATTTATGACAACAGCTAATTTGCAACCAAAAGGTGAGTGAGCATAGCAAACGAACTTCAACCTGGAGGCGAGTTAGCGTAGTGAACGAGCTAACCTGAAGGCAAGTGAGCGTAGCGAACGAGCTAACCTGAAGGCAAGTGAGCGCAGCAAACGAGCTCCAACCTAAAGGTGAGTGAGCGTAGCGAACGAGCTCCAACCTAAAGGTGAGTGAGTGTAGCGAACAAACTTCAACAAGGATGTGATTAGCCATGCGAATGAGATCATCTTGAAAATTAAGAAGTTAAACGGGGGCAAAGCCCGCGGGTTACAGCTAGTATTATCTAATTTTGCATTATGTTTCCTTACAATCAATGACTTAAATCAGTTGTACAGTTACAACCAGCATTTCAAGTAGCTTTAACTTAAATACATTATTTACCAGGAACATTGAGCTCCTTATTTAACGTGTACATCCATGACATCAGATAGCAATAAATTGAACAATAAAACCAGAACTATTTTTAAGATATTATAGAATTATTTGAACAGTGAGCACTGTCTTTAGTTAAAGAAGATTTGATTCCTCCTAACCATTAAAGTGTTGTTTTGCAGAACCATTACAGATTTTAAGGATAATATAGCATTCCATATAAGGAAAATAGATGACAGTTATGCAGAAACATTACAAAGGGAAAGGTTGAAAAGTAAAGAGGCTCAAGAAACTGCAAAAGAAAGAGAAAATGAGGTTGTGCAACTAAAAACTGATATTTTAGAACTTCTTCAAGAACAGCAGGAACTGAGAGAAAGGTTGAGAATTATGGCTATTCAGGTACGTCATCAGTTGTAAAGTAACTTTTTTCTCAATAGCTCTGTAAAATGTTTAACGTTCTTTCAAAATAAATGCTTAATAGCCCAGGCAAATTAGACATATGCTCCCCAAAAAATCGTCTAAAGCTGGAAAGTGTTTTAATACATTTTGGGGGTCCCAAATAAGACTCCTGTGAGTTTGCGACGGATTCTGACGTCTGCTTAAGTTTTAGGAGTCGAAAAACTATGAAAATTTTGCACTTTTTTCAGTTTTTCGCTTATAACTCCTAAATAACGAATCCTAAGGAAAATGTTGTTCAAAGGTGTCTTTTAGTGCAATAAATTCCGCGTCGATTGATGTTAAATACGTCAAAATCGGCCGAGCCGTTTAGCCGCTGTAGCTTTTCAAAGGTGGGATATTTTCATCAACATGTCCAAAAGGTTGATTATTTGACCAGTTTTCGACTTACAACTCCTAAACGACGCATGCTATACAAAAAATGCGCCTGTATTTAGTTTGGAAAACACAACATTTTGCGTAGAGTTATGATTATGAATGACTAGATAGTGGTTTATTTCATGGTTATCATCCAGAGGTTTATCCAAGAATGTGTGAAGGGAAGGGTAGCAAGACCCCCTATGCAATTTTAAATCTAATATTGTTGAGGGGGTTACAAAAATTCTAGGATTCGTCCTAAGCTCCCATTTATACGATCCCATCTCTGGACACTCCGGAATGATGTTAAGCGATTCTAATATATAATAAAATATTACAACGAGAAAGATTTTATTAAAAATAGCAAAAATGTTATTTTTTAGCTTAATAAATAAAAGATGATAATGGGACGGATGTACATAGTTTTACTATGTATTTAGCCTATTAAAAAAAGATTGGAATTTTTTGTAGATTTTACCATATAACTTTTCTACTTCTCATCATTGGAATCTTAAGAATAAGGATTTATTCTTTGCTCTTATTGGTCTTGCCACAAATGGTGACATTCGGTACCATCTTTTTTGTCAGATATCGAATTGAGATAATCGTGCCCCTTGCAAGTCTTTCAGACAGTAGTGCATTATATCCCAGCATTTCATATGGAGCGAGAAAATGTAAACATTTTTAACATGTACACGATGGTGGAGATAGGTAGACGGAGTTGAGAAGTTCTTGTCGAACCGGTGGATTAGCCGTAGTGATGGGAGTTAACCCATTGACGTTAATTTTCCATACCTATCTCTCTGAATTAAGTACAATTTTGAATGAGCTCTAAAGGATTGGTGGATGAGCAGCCCCTTTTGTTAGAATCAAAGTCAAAATTAGTTGAAAGTGTCCTCTAGAAGAGACCAACCCTCACTTGATTTGGATATTTTCTGCTCCCAACCATGTATAGGGCCAACCTGCTTCTGCAACTTCGCCAAGCGTTGTAACCCGTCAGAACACAGTGAGATCCACATTGATTGGAGTAAACAGCATGAGTAGTTTTAGGCTACATGAATAGTTAGATTTTCGACTCTTCTACATCACGCTTTCTTCAAACTGCGCTAGTGGGTACGGACCTATTTTTAATCCAAAGTATGATTCAAATTGAGGCTTGGATTTAATATGGAATATCACGCATTGACTGAGGGGGCGGATTCTTCTTTAACCTTTGCTGTTGCCATCACAGCTCGCGATTAATGTCACTACTTCCTTTTATTCTGCACAGTTTATGGTCATTATAGGCTTGCCTATTTACGATTTTCTTGCAAGCTGTGCCTTTCCATTATGCTTTATACATATCTCGCGTTGATGCTATCATATGGGATAACTGCTGAGCTGATTGACATGAGCGAACTATTTTCAGTAAATGGGTCGTGACACTGGAACCATTTGATGAATTTCTTTTTGATCCCACCGTATCCGTGGAGTTTATATTGTCAACTTGCTGATAATATGTTGAAGAGGTGATCCCACAATATACCTTAACTTGATGGGTAGCATTCACTGCGATGGGCCTGCCAGCGAACCATCGGGCTAGGTCCACATCATTGATTCCCCTATCTCGGAAAAAACTCTCCACAGTAAGATGTTGCCCTCATGAGCACTTACTTGTTCATAGGCCATGCTGCACGATCCATGACGTCACACTAGTGGATAGATTCACTGCCATATCCCCTATGTTTTTGGTAATTAGGCTGGTTGTTTGGCAGATTTCAATGGTAAGATTTTAAACTTGACAAGCATCTGATCTAGTGTTAACAATCAATAGCGGTTAAATGGTGAAGCCGATCTTAATGAATTGGAAAACATTCTACGCAGACGTTTATGCTCTTCAAACTAACTACAGGAACATTTTTTCTATAGCATGCGTTAGTAAGCCAAAAACTGAAAGATGAATACAGGGATAGATAGTATATAATGGGTGGTTGGGATGAATCCTAGAATTTTCGGAACCTCAGACAACAATATTAGACTTTAAATTACATAGGGGGTCTTACTCTCATCACACCTTATTAGATAAACCTCTGGATGACCATCATGCAATAAACCACTATCTAATAATTCATAATCCATTTAAGGACAGGTCTTAATCTATGTTGTTACCAATGTTATTAAAATTTCCCAACTTTAACTTTAATACTTTTTTTTCAATGAAATGGCGTCCATACAAAGTAGGTAACAATCAATTGCCGTTATTGATTAATAAAAAAAACATTATACGCAGAATTTTGTGTTTGCTAAACTAACTACAGGTGCATTTTTGTATAGCATGCGTCGTTTAGGAGTTTTAAGCCAAAAACTGGTCAAATAATCAACCTTTTGGCCATGTTGATGAAAATATCCCACCTTTGAAAAGCTACAGCGGCTAAACGGCTCAGCCGATTTTGACGTATTTAACATCAATCGACGCGGAATTTAATGCACTAAAAGACACCTTTGAACAACATTTTCGTTAGGATTCGTTATTTAGGAGTTATAAGCGAAAAACTGAAAAAAGTGCAAAATTTTCTTAGTTTTTCGACTCCCAAAACTTAAGCAGACGTCAGAATCCGTCGCAAACTCACAGGAGTCTTATTTGGGACCCCCAAAAGGTATTAAAACACTTTTCAGCTTTAGACGATTTTTTGGGGAGCACACCCTATATTTGATCTAATTTGCCTGGACTATAATACTTAATTTTAATTACGTAAAATCATAGACAAAAATAATTAAATATAGACCATCAGCCGTGATGCGGTTACCATTGGTTCTGGCGCACACTGGTGGGAGCGCCATGTAGTTACAGAATACGCGCTACGTAACTACACAGCGCTCCCAGTGGTGTGCGCCAGAACCTATGGTCACCATGGTAACCGCAGCACGGCTGACAGTCTATATTTCATTCATTTTGTCTATGGTAAAATGTATTTTATTTGATATTTTATGAACAAAATTGGACCAACATGTAATTTTAATGGGAAGAGTTATTTTTTACTTTCTCCCCCTATACCATAGTACATATATTGTTGGAGAAAGTATTGTTTTTGTCAAAATTTTTGAGTTTGAATTCATATATCCGTTTTGGGTCCCCCTTAAAAAGTCGTTTTCAAAGTGATGTCTGTGTGTGTGTGTGTGTGTGGGTGTGTGTGTGTGTGTGTCTGTATGTGTTTAGACGAGCTACAGACCACACCTGTAGTCCAATTTTGATGAAATTTGGTATGTAGGTACTTATATATGGTATATCCAGGCCCTTTTTTCGTTTTTTGGAAATTTTTATTTTTAATGGTAATTTTCCCATAAAATAACAGAAAAATCTGATTTTCTCAAAAATGGCCAGACAATTTTGATAAAAGTTTAGTAAATTCCAAACAAAATGGTACGAATCCCATTTTTGTAAAAATTACGGTTTAAAAGTTATTGTAACTTACCCCTATAAAAAACAAAAAATCAGATTTTATAAAAAAGACAGTTTCGATTAAAACTAATATGTTGTGGTCCTTTTGGAGACAAAATGGTAGGTACAAATCCTATTTCTGTAAAAAATATGGTTCAAAGGTTATTGTAACTTATGTTGTTGTTTCCCATGAAAAAAAAAATCGGAATTTAGGAAAAAATCCGGTTCTGATGGAAATTAGTTGTGGTTAAATGTTCTGGTCCTTGATAAATAAATAAATAAATAAAAAGGCCTTTATTTACAAGCGAGTTTCATATACATGATTTTCAAACTTACTCAAGTCAAACTAAAACTAAACTAACCTAATATATACAGAAATTTAATATACAAAAAAAACTACAAAGAAAAAACATTTACAATTTACATTTGTTTTTCTGCATTGCGGCCCTGAATGAGCCATACGATTTGGAGCTCTTTATGTCCTGAGGGAGGCCATTATACAACTGCGGGCCAAAATAAGAAAATGACTTTCTTCCAACCTCAAGCCTCACTTTAGGAAAGTGAAGCCTGCGGTCGGAACGAGTACCACGCAGGCAGATCTCCCCCCTGTACTTAAGCCTCTCGCTGAGGTACTGAGGCTCTCCCAGCGTGAGCACTTTGTGGACCAGGCAGCAGGTCAGCCTCCTGCATATTTCATCCATTGGGATGAGCTTTGCAGCATCTCGGAAGGAGGACACGTGGTCAAAGCGGTTAAGGCCAAAAATGAACCTTACTGCTGAATTTTGAATTCTTTGAACTCGTGCCATATCCTCCTTAGAGATGCTGTTTCCATATGCAGGAAAGCAATATGTAAAGGCTGGGAGGACCAAGGACCGCATGAGTTGCATTTTGGCATATTCTGGCAGTAGAGTTTTAAATCTGCTAAGACCTCTCAGTCTACCCACTGCACGTTGAACTGCAGATGTGACATGGTCAGAAAAAGAGAGGTCTTTGTCAAGTACAACACCAAGTGTGTTGACAGTGTCGCAAACAGACAATCTCATGCCATCAAGGGTGACTTCTATAGCAGATTTACTCAATTCCTGCATCATAATGTTTGGTCCAGTATGCATGACTACACACTTGTCAACATTCAATCCAAGGCCATTCATGACAGACCATTGAAAAA